TGTTCCAGCCATGCTGTTCTAGACGTCGAAATATCGCATATTCAATACAAGTATCACATCCACACTGCGTTTCGATATAATGGTAATTTTGACAGTCCCAGAAAGATTCCAAAAATTCAGAGGAAACATGTGAAATTGCAGATATTTTAGGATGCCTCAACTTCTTACAAGCCAACTCCGGGCATCCGATGCTGAATAAAACCATGGGAGGCTTTGTCAGAAGTCCAGTCTTTGCATATCAAATACGGTACATGCAACAAGCGTCTCGCTTTTAGTTAAGTTATCAATAAGACTTAAAGCTATTAAGGACAAACTTGTTGTCACCAACAGTAACTACGTGTGCCACTCTCAATATGCTGTCGATCTCCACCACCTGGTACTCATTCCCAGGTTCTTCCCACAGTAGCACGGGGCAGTGCGACGGATGAACCTCGTCAGACACCCTGTAGTACCTGACAAAGGCTCTCTCGCGTTGCTCTGCCAACTCTGCTTCGGGATCCTCTGGTTCAGCCACAAAAAGCATCAGAAGACGTGCATACCAGATCACGTCCTTGGTTCCTGAAGTGCCGTCCGATGATGTCACCCTCTCTTTGCCCAAAATGGCAACATTACTGTACCAAGGCCTTTTCATGAACATTGGGCACGCTCGTGCGTAATGTGTAACGCTTGAATACTTGGTAAAGTCCTCATCTCCTGGTATTGCCATGCCTTTCCTTACTTGAATCTGGTCCCCCAGTTTGACGTTGTCGGCTTGAGTTTGCGAAAGCAAACTACAAAGTTGTGACATATCGCCGGGTGCTGTAGCTTCGTACTCACGCCAAAGAGCTTGACCTGCATATCGTGGGTGCCTCCAATTCACCTTGGTCGATGTGGCAACAAGAGTGTTCCGGCCAGATTCCATGGCCTGCATACATGATCCAGAGAGATTCAAATAGTCAATGAAAAGTAAAATGATGCTGGTTTTAAAGTGGTGATTGAAAAATCCAGCAACAAAGCCACAAGAAGAATGAAATTCTAATCAAAACTGGTTTAGTGACACCCACCTGTTGTAGTGCGACCATTCGTTGTGCCGCATCCTCCTTGTTGTGATCTGAATCGTCGAGCATGCGAAGCATTTGTGCCATGACCGTGTGCTTAACAATTTGTGGCATGGCATTTCGTTTGTTGCTCGCACGATATGCCCTTTTCACAAGTGGTTGGTGAAAGTATTCAAACATGTTTGCGTTGTAGTGCACAGGCACTCCGGATCGGCAAATGTCTTCAACGAAATGTGCTAGTTGGTGAACTTTTCCGATGTTGAATTCCGACGCTTGACACGATCCAAAAACCTCTTTCAATTGTGGAATCAATCTGCACGGCGATGAAAATGGATAAGTGAAGGTAGGGATAAGAGAGGAGATGGTAGAGCAGAGAAGGAGGTTAGAGGCGAAGTGAATGAGGGCAGGGGAGGAGAAGAGGGAAAATGATATGGATGATTGAGGGCTGGGAATTTTGTATGAGAGGTAAGTGATAGTGAGGTGGAGGTGAGGGTGACAGGCGGAGAATGAGTGAGAGGGTATTCTGAAGTCGAGTGCAACGGATATAGGTAGGGAGTGAAACCATGGTGAGCGGAAAGGGAGATGGTAGGGCATGGGTAGGAGTGAGATGGTATTCTGAAATTGAGAGCAACGAATATGGATAGGGAGTGAAAGCATTGTGAGAGGAAAGGGAGATGGTAGGGCATGGGTAGGAGTGAGAGGGTATTCTGAAATTGAGTGCAACGGATATGGGTAGGGAGTGAAAGCATGGTGAGCGGAAAGGGAGATAGCAGGGCAGAGGTAGAAGTGAGAGAAAATACTGGAATTTACAGCAAAGGATATGGATAGGGAATGAAAGCATGGTGAGAGGAACAGGAGTTGGTAGGGCAGAGGTATGAGTGAGAGGGTATATTGAAATTTGCAGCAAGGGATATGGATAGGAGATGTATGAATCAATGGACGGATGTGAGCTTGATGGCTAGAGGTGGTACCTTTTGATAGCGTCGTCCAGCTCTTTCAAAGTGTTGTCTGTATGGTACCATCTCCTGCAGGCCAACGTGTAGCAATCTACAAACGCTGCTACAGCATCCACGACTTTCTGGTCCACCAACCCTGCAAGGACAATGGTCGCCACCTGCATGACTGCACGGTGTTCAAAGGCTTGGAACTTTGCCGCGCCTGCAAAGTAGCCACCCTTCTCATGACCGGGCAGCCGGAAACCAGAGATGCGAGTGTCTTTAGCAATGCATTGTAGGCCTCGTCTAACTGTTTTAGGACGTTTGTCTCCCTGGTTTTCTTGTACATGACTCGGATGCATGACATAATGTGCATGAAAATACTGAGATCAAGAGCGTGCATGACCTCGATGAGTAGTGCCCGGTAGGGATTGCCCACATCTGTCCTGCCCAAGGCAAGCCCCCATATGGCAGCCTGTGTCATGGAAGAGCAAAGTACGTGCGACGGGAAGTAACAAACATAACGTTAATTCCATGCAATGAAAGTACATGAAAATTACAAGCGATGGGAGATAACAAACACAGCATCAAGTTTCATGCACTGAAAGCCCATGCAATACATGCGAAGATACAACTATTGAAAGGCCATAGCTCACCTTGACAGGGTGTATGCTCAGCAACTGTGCGGCGTCATTGCGAGCGGTGACAGTGGGAATAGCGAGCAACCCATCCACCTTGGCTGCTTGATCCTCCTCGGTACGGTATTCGCTCACAATTTCCATGTTGCTGATGTCCTCGCGTCGGACTAAGCACCTATGACATGGGAAGTTGGCCTTGTGACTTGCGTATGTACTAGCAACCTTACATGCCTCTGGTTGATCCGCAACGTATGCGTACAAAACCAAGTACACAAGCTGTCGTTCACCCCAGGGGTCCTTTATGATTATCCCACTGTCAACAAGGGGTGGGGGTCGGGTTGACGTGGGGCAGATGGGGAGTGGAATAGACTATTGACATGGCTGATGGTGCTGAAATGAAGCGACCAGAGCTCTGGTGGTGCTGAAATGAAGCGACCAGAGCTCTGGTGGTGCTGAAATGAAGCCACAAGAGCTCATGTGGTGCTGAAATGAGGTGACCAGAGCTCGTGTGGTGCTGAAATGAGGTGACCAGAGCTCGTGTGGTGCTGAAATGAGGTGACCAGAGCTCTGGTGGTGCTGAAATGAAGCCACCAGAGACAAGTGGTGCTGAAATGAGATGACCAGAGCTCGTGTGGTGCTGAAATGAGGTGATCAGAGCTCGTGTGGTGCTGAAATGAGGTGACCAGAGCTCGTGTGGTGCTGAAATGAGGTGGCCAGAGCTCGTGTGGTGCTGAAATGAGGTGACCAGAGCTCGTGTGGTGCTGAAATGAGGTGGCCAGAGCTCGTGTGGTGCTGAAATGAGGTGACCAGAGCTCGTGTGGTGGTGAAATGAAGCGCGATGGGAGAAAGGCAGAGATGGGAGAAAGGCAGAGATGGGAGGAAGGCAGAGATGGGAGGAAGGCAGAGATGATTCTCACTCTCGGGATGCCTCCCTGAGGCTTTGCATGATGCGATCCATCGCCTTTTGGAAGACCACACGACGCGTCTCCTTTCCAGCTTCTGTTTTCGCATCTACACCAGTTAAAGGGGGTAGCATTGCTATCATGATGTGGCCATGCGGCTGCCACCTGTTTTTGATTGAGATGTTTCCAAGGGTCAAGTACACGGGGTGACCTACTACTCGTCCATCATTGGACAGGTTGGTCGCGTCGCTGTAAATTATCACGGTAGCCAGTACAGCACCCATTGGAAGCATGCCCTGTATCTCAATCCACATGTTCCCTGTCTCCGGCCCTGCGTAAATGCGCTGTTTGCCATCCGATGTGGAGAGCGGTGCTGCTCGCAACACAAACCCGCTATGGTTTTTGGGATCTGAGAACGACGTTTCTACTGCATTAGCGAGTGATGTCAAGTAGAGCGTGGCGACATGATTGTCGTCGTGACTAACGTCGATGGACTCCCACTCCGTTATCTCTGTCATTTGTACTAATAATGCCTTAGCGTACTTATCCATGCCAGCCCTGTTTGTATAGCTAGGTCTCTCCGCTGTGGGTCGACAAAACAACGCTAATATGTTGTTAGTGTCCGTAGCAGATAATCCCATGCCTTTATTGCAGCTGTGGATGACCTTCAAAAGTGCCCTGTCCATGTCAAATGGCGGTACTACCACTGGTGGTGGGTCCATTGAGAACGGTTCAGGACGTGAAAGCTCTGGGGGATTGTCTACTATCTCTGGAGCAATGCTTGCAGTGGTTCTAGCCTCCGAACACCCTACATCCGTTGGAGAAGGTGCTGGTAAATCCGTGCTGGGCCCATTACTCCCCTGGGCATTCCTACGTCTAATATGCTGGACCAAGTCATCCACCTCCTCCTGCTCACGGGGCCGCTTCTTGCATGCCCGCTGATGATTCTCCAAAGCTCTACCACTCGTAAAGGTCCTATTGCAGCATATGAAAAGCATGATTACTAAGGGTACATTCCGCTGTAGAATATGTCCCAATCGATTGGGACATGCAGATGCAACATATGCTGCCAGGTGTCGGAATGCCGTGGCGCCCGTGGTTGTCGCCGACCGTATTTATCATTGGGTGGCGTGTATCACGGAACAATCGCCAGCTAATAACAACACACCCCACCAATCGCACGCGGCCCCAAATGTCATCTCATGCTGCATGTATCTGGACGACATTGAACCGCCCACTCTATCCCCATCAACGCGTTCACAGTGTGCCGATTGGTCGAGCCGACCTTTCCAGAATTATTGACAACGACGCACGTCCCCCCGATAGTGCGCCACTCACCCATTTCCTCCGCACCTCCCCCACAACTCCTCAGCCTCCCCATCCCTTACGAGGTCTTGTTTGTGCAACAGCTCAGAAGTTCCAATCTGTCTCTCTCTCACAGCCTCCGCTCCCTCAGGATCTAGATCTAGAAAGCTTCTACCCGCCATCATGGCTCGTAAGCGTAAGGGGCAGGCACTTAACGACTGCCCCAAGGATCTTAATGACATACCGTACATCCGCTGGATGAACCAGCAGATCGCCAACGGTCGCCATCCCAAGGGATTATCCGCGCCTCCCGCGCTTGACGGCCAGGGATCCACCGCACAGTCGCCCACAGCGGCCCCGTCACGTGTGCGCCGTCAGCCTTCAAGGACGACAGCATCGCACCGGCCAGTTGTGGAGCAATACGACGACGATGCTGATGATGACGACCACGAAGAAGCTGATGACTCCGACGACGAGTCGGAGGAGCCCAAAGACCATGGAATGTCGCCCAGCGACGACGACGACGAAGTCGAAGAGGATGCCGAGGAGGACGCACAGGAGGAAGTACAGCCTGTCGCTCAACCGCCGAAACGGAGCGCAGCACGCAAACAAGCGTCCAACAAGGGCAAAGCCAAGGCAGCGAAACCTGCAGCGCGCCCTGAGCCGCGGAAGAAACGGGCGGTAGCACCTGACGAGCGTGGATTATGGTCCGACAAGGAGAGCACCATTTTCGCCGCGGCGAAATGGTTCATGAAAGATGAGCTTGAGCCACTCAAAGGGAAGCAGGGGACACAATATTTGGCCCGGTTGCTTGCACACATCAAGGAGTCTAATCCTGGATGGTGTAGGGGGGTCAACGCCCTGCAGAAGCAGTGGCGTAACTTGATGCTCCTTTGGCGGGAGTATAAGCGCGCCGACGGGGGGTCGGGCAACGGCTCGGTGGAGAAACCACCATGGTATCCTTACCTGGACCTGCACAACCAAGACACCGCCGCAGCCGCACCGCATGCGGTAGACGGTGGCGGTGCGACCAACGTCAACGTGCCGGTCGGCATGGAGGTTCCAACCTCGTCCCAGCCTGGCACATCTACGCCATGCTTTACGGGTGAGTCTAGATCCCGGTTACTTGTTGTTTGGTCTGCAAGCTTGACGTACAAGTCGTTGTTTCAAACAAGTTTCCATAAAACTTGCTAACATCCACGATTCAATGACATTGAGTGCACCCACCAATCTATCCTACCAACTTCCCGTCCAATCTTGGTTCACAGCTCCGCCGCCGACGAACACCGCCACACCCAAGCGCGCCCGGGTGCATGAGACGGTTTCCATGCAAGCGGCTATGTTGGTGTCCGCCACCATCAAGGATTGCCACAGCGATGCGATGCGAGTCGTCGAGGGCCTCGTCCGTGAATGGATGGCGCAAGACCTGCGGCTTGCCCGCGAGCGCATGTCTGACTCGGCCCCCCCTGATGTGCACCGCGCGCCGCCGGACTTATCCCCACCACCGCCGCGCGGGGAGTCCGCGCCACCCCCCGAAACCGCACGGCTGCGAGAGGATGTGGGCGACGAGCACACCGTCACTCCGGCGACCGAGGATGTGGAGATATGGGTGCGTGGCGTCGACGATTAGCGTAAGATTCTTGCAGCGCCTCACCCAGTCGTTTCCGCCTCTCCCGCAGTGCCTGTTGTGTTGGGGGAACACACGGTTCCCATTTGTGTGTCGCAATAGCACCCCGCGTCCACCATGGATCGCGGTTTCGGGGTAGGTTCTCCCATGCCTTGTTCCGCCGCCTAACGTCCTGCATATCTTCACACATGTTGTGCAGGATTACACAACACGCGGCCCCGGCGAGTATGCGCCACAACCTGCAGTCGTTGCGCTGGGCGAAGATGCGCCATCTCCCTTTGAAGGCACCGATGCATCTCTCCACCGCCATGCGCGTGGCACTCTGGCAGTAGTTGAAACATTGTGCCCAGTCGTCCATGAGGTCCTCTCCTCGTGGGGCATGCAGGGGTGTTAGGCAGTACTCCCGTAGAGGGTATGCCGCGTCACCAACTATCTGGTATGGGGCTATGTCCCCGTTGTGTAACCTCTCTAGTAGTGCAGACTCTTTGAAAACCCGCATGTCGTGCGCGCTGCCGGGATACCCGATCAGGTAGTCCCAAATCCTCCCTCGTGCATCACATGTGATCCGGAGTTGTACGGCATAGGCCGATTTCCTTGTCCAGTACTCTGTTCTGTGCCCTTCCATCCCCTTCATATGCATATGAGTCCCGTCCACAGCTCCCACCACAGCAGGTATACCCTTCACGGCAGCAAGCTTGCGCGCCATCCCAGGAAGCTCTACACGTGTGGGGAAGCGCACCCAGGCGGCCTTGAAGACAGGGGGGAACTCGGTGAGAAACACGTCGACCAGCTCGTGACGAAGTGTTTTTGAGATTCCGAATAGGTACGACATGTCCACATACGAAATACCGGACGCCAGGTACTTGATTGGGATGAGCACAACGGTGTCCAAGGTGAGTATTGACCGGTTTACTATGGGCTCTAGGTAGTGTTGCAGCCCTGTCTTGATATGATCCAGTATTGCGCGGTTTATACGGAACAGATCCTGAAAGTCGTTCTCCCTCATGTCCTGCAGATCTTCAACCCACAGAGAGTGACGTCGCCGCCGTACCCTCGCTCTGTGACAGCGGTTCTCCCCATAATCGTCCCCGGTCGAGGAGGAATGCTCGTCCTCCTCCTCGAACACGCCTGACTCTATGAGGCCTACAAAGCTCTTCGCGACATTTTCGTGGAAGATGGTGTAGTAGTAGGTAACCCATGCGACTAGAAGGCGTAGGATGAATGGGATGGTTCTTGGCAACGCCATGTTGTGTGGATTAGGAGTTCGTAGTTTTTTTGCTTGTGTGTTGACGGGTTATACATGCTTGTTGTGTGTGACGGGAGATGCGACGTTTACAGTTTCGGCAATTATTGGTAGCGCGGATGTATGGTGTAACATCCGCGTTCTCCCGGAACATGAACATGTTTCTTCCGCGAGAGTGGAGCGGGGGTGTTTGTGTTCCAGACGTGGAAGTATGCCAGGTTGGACTGTGACCAATCACAGGGGGTCGCAAATAATTGTCGCGCAACACAGCAGAGTCGCAGTACATCGATCGATTGGGACATGTAGATTCGGGAAATTTGAGTGCGACTCGGCGAAAAGGGGATTGGGACACATCGATTGGGACGCATGTCCACAGCGGGATGTACCCTAAGAGGGCAAAAACAGGTGACGCCTTGTACCGCTTCATATTCACAAGGATTCAGTAGTTCTGCCACCTCTAGTGCCTAACCCTAAATCCTGCATACAGAATAGTTGCTGTAACTAAAAGCATCTAAATCTGGAGGGAGTTGCCCAATCTCAGAATAATCGCACCGCCCTTGCAACCAGCTCCTCTGCTTCTTGATACTCGGGAAACTCCATCCAACGTCAAATGAATGTGATCAGACCAGGATAGTGTTACTGAACTAAGGGTACATTCCGCTGTGGACACATGTCCCAATCGATGTGTCCCAATCGAGTGTACCGCTCCGAACCGAACTAAACCAGAGACGCGAAAAATTCGAAACTAGGGTGCAATTTGGTGTAATACGATGCAGTGCGGTAGAAACGATTGGGACACATCGATTGGGACATGTGTCCACAGCGGAATGTACCCTAAGTCTGGAGAAGCAAAAGTAAAGACTTTGAAGAGCTAATACTAGACTTACTCTGGACCCTGGACGATAATCTGTCGATTAGATTACTGTGACATCGTCTGTGTTGCACTTTCCGTAGCGCGCCTCGACATTATTGGATAAACAAAGTGGAAGTAAAACAAGCATTTATGAGATTCTAAACGGAAAGCTGCTGATCAGTTACGCGGGCATGACACGGGATAAACCATATTTCTGACACTGATCGCCGGAGAGCAAGCAGATTGCGCATCGCAACGGGTGGTGTTGCGATATTAACGGTGTGACTAGCTACTAACGGTATGGGGAGCGAAGTACCTGTCCTAACGATTATGAACAACGGGCACTGAACTCCAGTAAGGAACGTTGGAGCAGGTGTTAGGGAAAAGATGGGATGGTGGGGAATGGGTTGTGAAGGTCGCATCATATTTGGTGATGCGACAGTCACCGATTTAATGGCGTAATCTGCGCCAATCAAATCGTTCTGCGACGTCGCGTCGAAGCCGTGCAACGCACCTGGGAATTTGTCGGGAAAATTCAGGGCGTCGCACGTGTGGTCGCGCGACGACGTGGACGCCAAAAGTTGGTTGTCGAGATCAGGTCGCGCGACGAGGCTGACTAATCGGACCGTCGTCTGACAGCTTGGGCAATTTCGTAGGCTATCGAATCAAAAGTTGTGCGACGACACTGATGAATCACACGTCACAGGGAACCCATCAAAGTCAAATTAGCAGGGTAACATTACAATGTATTCATGTGTTACAGCTGTGACGTGTGATTCATCAGTGTCGTGATGTAACTTGGGGATGGTGCGATAACATCTTTGGGAACCCATCAAGGTCAAATTAGCAGGGTAACATTACAATGTATTTATTTGTTATAGCTGAAATATAAATGACTGTGAGCATTATTCACTGCAAACAACAAGTACTATCCTGGATTCAATATGTGATTTTAAACTTGCTCAATTAAACAATTTAAATTTAAATGCATGCGTAAAAAAAGGGTATTTCACTTCCTTCCTAAACCCAATTTATAGATCGTAGACATCTACACACAATAATATATATACATAACTTTACCACCAGAGCGACGAGACTATACAGAAATTTCATCAACCCTCAAAACGCAGCGTACAATCCGACGATCTCCCCGCTGGAAATTTCGAACAGCCTACAGCATGCAGGTAAATTTCGCGTGCTGGAGCCATGCAGATTCGCGGGCAATAAAAATTGCGGGAAACCTATTCGCACATTTCCCAGGTTGACTGCTGGAAATCAGCGCGAAACCACTATCAGCAGGAAAACAAAACGCAACATGCGAGCGAATACCGTAAGCCCCCGGATAGAAGCGCAGGCCTCGGATAAGCGCCGGCGCTTATAAAAGGATGAGGGCGCTTATATCCGGTCCTCGATTATAAGCGCACCCCTTAAAAAATTCTGATTTATTATAAGCGCATGTCTATTTTTGAATCTGAAAATCAGTCGATTTCAGAAACGAATTTCTCTTTACCAGGGAATCGAAGTACAGGTCCACTTTCCCACTCACATCACACTTGCTGCGCGTCTAGTCAGCACTTGCTGTCGCTTAGTCAGCATGTGTTGGCAGGGAATACATCCCTGCTACCGTAAGTTGCGCGAGAATCAGATTCGCGACCCCAGATATATTCGACTCGATTACAATTGGCAGAACAAGGTGTACAGATTGGTGTAAAACAAATATAAACTTGCTTTGCCATTTTATAAGCGCCGGCTCTTATAAAATTCCTCAATTATAAGCGCACCCCCTAAAAAACAGTGTTTTTTTATACCCCCAGGGGCGCTTCTATCCGGGGGCTGACGGTAAGGGTAAATGTGCGATGTACTAACAGACGAGATAAAAACGTCCTTAGGATCTACCAATCTTTTGACATGCTTACATCGAGAGTGACGACGACGATCACGCCTAACGGCAGATTGAGGATTCACAGGGTAGAGGCGCGTAGGGAGAAGGATGCAAAAAAAAAGGAAAGGCTATCAACAAACTAGGAGAGGGAAAGTTGTCAGAATCACTAGGCAAGAATGAATGAACTAACAGAAGTTTGGGTACAAATATGAAACCCTAGTTGGGGTTGTACCCCATATTGGCTACCCCACTACAGCCTACAAGCATAATACAGTTTAACACACCCCCATAGGCAAAGTGGGGGAGAACAAAGGGTCACAAGACCAGTCCAGCAAAGCAAAACAAAGCCCAGGGTGGATCACAACGTCACCACACTCCGAGCACAAGTAAAGGCCACAAGGCCAGTTCACATGCAGTGCTAGATATAGTACAAGACAAGCAACACAGTGATCAAAACCTAGCAAGCAAGCAACAAGATATATATAAAGTACAGTACAAAGAATGTCAAGCAGTGAGCAAGTGAGGAAATGTGGACACAAGGCCTAAAGAAGTACAGTGCCGCTGATGATCACTAGGCGGGAGCGCCTTGGTGAAGATATCAGCAGTGTTGGCCTTCGAGTCCACGTACACAAGCCGAAGCTGACCGCGCTGCTGAAGCTCTCGAGCAAGAAAGTAGCGAAGAGCAATGTGCTTCGTTCTGTGCTCCTGACACAAGGCAAGAGCCGCCTTGTTGTCACCGTACAGAACTGGAGGAGAACTAGGCCGCTCTCCCAAGTCAGTCAGCAGGTAGGTGAGCCAGCGTAACTCCTGTGCAGCCATGGCTGTGGCGTAGATCTCAGCCTCACAACTAGAGCTGAGAACAGAGGAAGAGCGGGTGGACCGCCACGAGACAGAACCAGAGCCAAGGCTGAAGGTGTAACCCTGTGACGACCGCTGCGTAGCCAGGTCGTCCACCCAAGAAGCGTCCGAGTGACCAGTGAGGACAACTCTGTCGCGTCCTCCAAGCACCAGCCCCATGCCTGATG